TGAACCTGAAACATGCTGAAACAAGTCAAGTCACAATGAGGAAGCCTGAGTGTTGTAGAGTGTCCACACCTCGTGTTGTTATGAATAAATGTTGTATTTGCTGCATTCCACTGTCTACAATTAATCTGTATTTTTCAAWAATCATCACTGTGTAAGGTGCCCYATAATCAAYTTTGGTACAAGCATAGTGAGTTGACCCACAGCKAAAGATGTAGCAACTATTTGGACAGCCATCAATGCATAACTACAACAGGTCATCAATACCTGAAAGGKAAAGATGCCACCAGACAACACACCCCTCAACCCTTACTTGAAWCTTTGTGCAGCACGTTCAGAATCTTGCTGCTCTGTTGAACTTTTTGCAGGGTCCACCAAGTACACTAGGCCATCAGCTGCATTTATATGCTGAAACCAAGAAACCTAACATTAATAAAACAATAGCATTTAATGTTTTGGTAGAATCATGATAATGCAATGTAAAACCATTACAAACCAAAAACTTCCAGTGTACATTGTCAATGTTGACAAAGGAAATGATTCCRTTGTAGTTGTCAAAGTTTATCTGTTAGGAAGTTAATATCATTAGTAAATGCTCAATATTTATATTTTTATGTGTTTTAAATTCAAATTGTATATTACTTTTCTAAAACAGCATTGTCAAAATTAATTGTACCATACAATAATTAGTAACCCTGATTCGTTTTAATCTAAAAAATGGCTATATACTATTAACTTACCTTTGACAGACTATTCCTTCTGACAACCTCTCATTTTCCAAACAGAATCACACCAGTGACATAGTGATTCATTAAGAAGAGAGAACTTCCTTTGCCCATCTTGTTGATGTTGATGTGCAATAAACACTCAATGATCTATGGAAACATTTATATTTAAAAGAGGAGTTCAGACAAAAATTACAGATTAATTCTCAACATCTGCAGATAAAAACAACAACACACAAGTAAATTTATTGTAAATGAGAGTACCTCGCCTGTAAGCCACTGATGTGGCCTAAGTGTCCTTAGTTCACTGTGGTGAATAAGAAAGTTGTTCCCTCTGATCTGCGATGGGATGACTGACACCACAACCTCTGTGTCTTTCTTTTTCCACAAATTGCAGAGCTGAGGGTTGTCACACAAAACATATTTTCAAATGATAAGCAATTTACAAAATTAGACATTTACTGCATTTACATTTAATGGTATTAAATGAGATACATACATTAATCTAACCAGCATTAACATATTATTTACATGGCTCCTCTTACACTTCATTTTATGATTCTGTATTTCCATGCTGAAAATGTATAATATTGCATAAAATTATGTGCCATGTGACTGAAGCATCAAAGTGTTTGTTAATATATTGAAAAATGTAGTTTGTAATGGATTGTTTTGAAAATTAATCGACTCAATTAAACCTATAATCATAAAGTTGACAAGTCAAACTTACAAAAATGTAATTTATAATTTGAAGTTAACTTAAACTTCGTAGATAAAAGCCTATGATAAATAATCATTTATTGAGTGGTATGGTGGGTTTAACACATTAGTTACAACTACATAATATTCAGTGATGTTTTATGTGTATTTATGATAAAATACTACCTTTTAATAAGTGTTTAATTTAATAATAGAAGCTGATACTGTATACATCCATTATTCTTTGTCTACACTGTCAACAATACATTTTTTGTCTTTGTTACTGACCACTGCTTGTTGCTTTTGAGAGTTGGTCGATGTCATAGAAGCTTCCTTTTCTTGTTCCAGTTCACTATTCTATAATACACATAAAGAGAAATCCAACTTTTGGAATTATGTATTTACTTGTCAAAAAACATGTACTTAATATTTCATTTGAGTATTTATTAAAGTACTCAAGAAAAAAGGTCTTTATGTTGTAAAGTATCTTTTAAAGATAAAGAACTTTTTGAC